CAGAGATTTTTGCAATGCAGGATTGTGTATTTGCTGGTGAGAGAGAAACTAAAGGGAGCAGCACTTAAATAGTTATAAAGAGACTGGTCATAATGTTTCATCAATATTTACCTCTTCATCATCCTCATCTCCATCAGAATCTTCTTCATCTGCTTCCTACAACATAAAATCAGAGATTTCCTCTAAGCCACAAAAAGTACAAGGGAATCTTAATTCCAGGAGAAAGTAAATCATATTAACATGAATTACATTGTTGAAATATTTGAGAGGATTGGGCCACAAGTCCTCTTTAATTATCTCTGCGACCTGCAGTTTTACAGTGGAACATATATGAAATAAACACAGGTAGAAAAGATAATGAAAATGTTGACCTTTTCCTATTAATTAAATTAAACCAGCAGCATCAACTACAGTACAATCTCAAGTGAAGGATGAGATAACAAGACAAAACAGTTACACATGACATCAAATCATGAAACCTGCCCCCCCCCCTCCCCCCCCAAAAAAAACCCATAATCATCCCTACACCAACCAATTGTTATTCTATTGTCATGCACCTTTACACATATGGGAAATAACAGCCATTAAAAAAAGCTTCAAACACTCTGTGCCTTTGAATTACCTCATCATGAAGACCCTCTAAAACATCTTTCTGTTGAGTCTCACTGAACCAACTAAAGAAACTGCATTCATAAAAATAACATAAAAGATGAATGCCAGTGAGCACAGAATAATGGCCAAAAGAAAAAAGAGAGTCTAGGATCCCACATTCTCCATGCATTCTTTTCCAGTGCACTCTCTCTCTCTCTCTCTCTCTCTCTCTCTCTTCCCCCCCCCCCCCCCCCCTCTTCTCCTTTCCTTAATTCTTGGGTTATGCTTCTGAAATGACATTTTCTGTTTGTTAAAAAGAAGCCAAAATTAAACCAAAGAAGGAAAATTTTCCAATAGCCAAGAAATTGAACATCGTACTAGATAAGTTAAGGTACTATGCATGTATTTGCAATATTCGAATTTCTACAATCTTTGAATTAACTAATGGAACTGCGACAGTCAACTTTGGTACGAGACCCTTAGTAACTACAACCACCTAAATTTATCATCTAAAAACAACAATAAATCCCTAATTCAAATTTTTTGATTGTGTACCATTTTACATGCTGTTCCTTTTCTTGTGATGGATATTGTTATGTTGGACAGTTGGAGAATCTAGATTTTAGAGGGCACAAACAACTAGATAACACAACAAAGCTTTATGAGAGGCCTAGTTGGTCAGCAAAGCCTTTACTGTTAACTAATGAAGAAGATAGATGCAAATGTTTTCATGCTAAAGAGAGGGGGAAGCAGGCATCCCAGGGGAAATACCAGTGTTTTTTGTATACTTGATCATCTAATCAATCAACCTAATCCAGAAATGCTGGTAATTCAGGCTTATCTGATCTACATTTACACACAATCTTTATGCATATGAATCAAAGTGTCAAACAGAGCATACCCCTGGTCACAGCCTCACAGGCCATCTAATTGCATAAAATATATTACTCAACACACCTCGAGACTCAAACCTAAACAAGGCTCGACAAAAACAATCCAGAACATACTTTACTAAAATGAAGTATAGCCTCTGAAACAATAACTTCAAGAGGTCGACACTATAATACATGAAAGCCATGGCTTTCTAATTCAACATCACCACCATTTGATATAAACTCTTGGAATTTGGTGGAAGATTTAAGACCTTATTTATTTCAGAAACGTTTTAAGTTCCTCATCAGATAAAAACAACAAGCGAGCACACGATAATAGCACCACGAACTTCAAAATACAGGCACTGACCTTCAGAGCAGGAATAAAAACCTAGGACAGCATCCTAAAAAGCTGCCTCCCTATTATAACATGTCAGTCAAGAATAAAACAAAGGTCCTTCCACCTACTGCAATTCTAGTGTGGCAAGTAAGATTACAAAGCACCGCCACACATGAGTAAGATTAAAAAGCAACCGAGACATGAAATTCCCACCACTACTCATAATCATGCAAAATGTATACATAGAACACTAGTGCCCAAGATTTGTGTCCTGTAGGAAATCTCCACAGCCACTCAGCCACCAAGGCACTAGGCTGACTTACATAGGATGTTTTAATAAGCATAAATAAAGAATAAAAAATTAAATCAGATATATGTAATCAGTTTCTTTTTCAGTTTTCAAATTGAATAAATTACTTATCCTTTACGTGATTATTATACATGCCAATTCTGATTCTTCGTCAAAGTTTCCACACTACGAGTAAAACAGAAAATTTTCAAATTTTATTTGATAGTCGGAACCACCATTTTAGGGATGGGTTATCTCTCAACCGTCTTGAGTGCGATTGGTTTGGGTCAATCAAGCCGTTGACAAAAGCTGCAAAACCAACCAGGACCTACACCAAATTGTTGACTACACCCTACTTGAAGTTGTGGAATTTTTTTTTTTTTTATCAAGAAGTGTGAAATTCAATATAGCATCTTTTAATTGGATTATAGTAGTCATGCCACTCAACTATAAACTGAAGATCTTCTGTATCCATACATGTACAAATATAAAAGACGTAAACCTGACAAGAATAAAATTCTCTATCCCAACATTTGAGGGTTATTACCTCTTTATATTTCATAATGTTCTCCAAATGTTTAATATTGCATGTACAGATATCTGAATGCCTCATAACTTAAGGGTTTGCAAGCACTTGTGAAAGCAACTAACCCTTAAATACAATTTTGACATAATCCACAGAAAAGTCAAAATTAGCAAGAAATGTACCTCTCATCAGAAAGCAGCCGTTTGTTTCCTTTTTTGTAAGAACTTCCTCCGTTAGCAGACCCCTTTACATTAACAGTTTCTGTTTTCAATATGATTTTTGTTAAAAGAAATCCAAATATACAAGAAGCTATCAGTGTACCCATTACCATGCCTTCCTTCCACTTGATGGTTGTACCAGTAATTTTGGTCGTTCCTTCATCAAAGAATGTGAAGGTCTTGGTCAACTTTGTATCTTCAAAAAAAGGATTTGGTTTGAAGTTCTGAAAATTCACAGTAATAGTAAAAATTAATAACTAAAAATAATAGATAAGAAAAGAAAAAATAAACATAAGTCGATTATTAAATAACTAGCACCAGGGTGGGAAAAATAGGGTCAGCTTAACAAGTTACAGGAAGAAACTCACGAATGTGATGGAGTATCCCAACTTCAAGTCCTTGAAATCCTCAACGTCAAGAGAAGCCAAATATTTGAACACCTAAGGTAAAAATGTGAATCCCAGAACTCAACTACAATGTCAAGAGTGGAGGATTTCATAGAATGTTAATCCAAATTCAGCTACAATGTCAAGGGTATAGGATATCACACTCACACCTCGCAATTAGACCCCAGTTGTTTACACAAGCAAAGGAGATATCTAACCCACTATATGAAAAAGGTAAATTAAAGGAACAACTGAATGCTTATATGCTTTTTTCTGGATGAATGGATGTTTGTGTCAAAACAACTAATATGCGTCCAACGTAATGCCCAACCGATAATGCATTATATCATGTATCAAACCTTCTGGTCTTCCTCGTTCAGAAGATCACCAAGTGCAGGATGACTCAAGAACTGCACAAAGTAGCAAGGCATAAGACGTTAGAAAGTTAGGATTCCAGATGCACCACTAATTGTCAACATACCCAAAGCAAAACGAAGGACAGTGAAAGAAAGACTTACAGCAGTCAACCAAAAGTCAGGAATAGATTTGATGATCTCACTCCGTTTGGCATAAACGGGCCTCCGTATCTCATTATATTTCTGTTCAACTTCCAATACTTTGTCACTGGCTTCTTCATTAACCTGCATGATACCAAAGTATTTATCAAGTTCCATAGAGTATGCACAATAAATCAATTCTAAATAGTATTTAATGAGCAACTGGTTTCAAACAAGCCTCCGATTAGAATTACTAATAATTGATACAGAGCTAATACAAAACTGAAAGTACAATATCAATAATTAGCAATATTTTCCTAATCTTGCTGAAAGGTGAGTATACTTTTTCCACAATTAGGGCACAGGGTCACTATAGTTGGGCTGGTAACAAACTGGCTTTGTTCTGTAACCGACCCCATATCACGTAGTGGACAGTGTACCATGAGTCTTAAGGTAATTGGTAAGCTCAGGTAGCATAGAGTTCCCATACTAAACGAAATAAAAAAACAGAAGCAATAACACAGACAAAAGGGGAAAAGAAAAGTATTGGAGAATTGCAAAACGATCCACACATAGTGCAGCAAAAATAAGCCAAAAAATTGTTGAAACACACTAACAGGAGATTTATTAATAATTGAATCATAATGCCACCACTTCTCTACTTGATCTACGGTTTGCCCTTGGCATTCTTTAGTAACAGAAAACAACTAAACCCTCAACCCTCCCTTATTCATAGGTGAATGAGAACATCGCAACGCTAAAATGTGCACAACCAAAGTAGCCTATGTAATTGTTTTTTGCCTCTTATTTATCTGTTGTTCCCCAAAAAATGAGAACCAAAAAGAAATTTCCTTTTTTCAATCTGGCCAACTCAGATATGGAAATCCTTTGAAATTTTCTCCTTTTTCCATGCAGCCTAATCAATTCTTTATTATATCTCTTTCTTTGGAGAACCAAACTCAGAGGGAGATGTGGTAAAACAGTAAAAGTAGATGATCGCCTCAAATTGCAAAATTTATGAATGAATGCATAATTATTCAAGATTTATGGCAAAAAATATATTTATACATAAATGCATTTAATCACCACAATCTACACGAGCCAGATCACAATTTCAAAAAAAGGAATCAAAATCAGGACAATGCATAAATAAGATGACCATCTAATCAACGCAAATGGTGACATAATCAACAAGGACAATCCCATATATACCACTTCCTATTAGATTTATCGGAATATATACGATCATATTTTTAGATTTGCAAGCATATACAATGACAATTAATAGAGGACCTTCTTGAGCTCATCTTGGACTGCACGGACTTTGTCTAAATTCTCCGAAAGCTCCACAAAAATGCGATCTATCTCTTCCAGATCACTATCGGAGTGTACCATCACTCTCTTTCCCCGATCTGCAACCATCTTTGAAACCCTAGGTTGGTGCCGATAAACTAGATTGTATAGTAGGGTTTGAGAGGAGATAGTACTGTTGGGTGAAGAGATCAGCCGTTTCAAGGTACTTATAGGAAGATGATATCGAAGCTAAAAAAAATCTTCACTGCAAATGGGGACCACCATCCTAAATGTCAAACAACTGGTTCGGGTGTCAAAATATTTTTGAGCTTAATAAATTGTAAGACATAAAAAATGTGTAATGTATAAAACACCTCAATTTTCTTTTTATCAGGGGCACAACTTTTTTTCAAAAATGATTGCAAAGTAAATCAAAAACTTGTTTCTTTCTACGCAACTCAATTTCTTAGGAAAATATATTAAGTGGGCAGATCGGCAAGATGGGATTGATCTAGTACCACCCAAAGAAGCTTTTGTGGGTACAAGATAGTTTCGCTAGGCTGGGGACATGGCATTTAAAGCTTATTGATACTCAAATTACCTAGAGCTACACCCCAAATCCGGCACTTTAATAGATGCAACTAAATCAAACCCAAATGATATCTTGGTACTAGACCATATGGTAAAAATATCTTGCGTGTTTAGTTGAGCTCAATAAAAAATTTACTGTTGACCCCAATGTAACTTGTGCCTAAAAGATTCTCCAAATTTGGCACATTAATCTTTTGTTGCCACCATCTGAAAAATAAGATTTAGGATACCTTCTTTCGTCAACACGGATACCTTTGGGCTTGGACTAAAATGAGGAGTCCACATAATGTACATTGAAGCACGCACAAATGATACCAAAGAGTGGGAAAAAAAAAAGATAAATGTTGTCATGTAGAAAATCATATTTCAAAATGATGCAAAGCAAATTTTAAAATAGCTAATCAATCAAATTAGGAACAGTCCTTATAAAAAGCCCCATTGAGCCGTTATCCATGTGCACTTTCAATGAGTGAACAGTTGCTATACATAAACCCCTCAACCATGTTTGATCCATTAAAAGAAGTATTTTTAAGAACGCCAAAATGGTATTAAATATTCCCATAAGAACTTTCTTCTAACAAATTTTATTTTCTTTCCTTTGCAATTTCTCTAATGTATTAACTAGCACAACCATTGAAAATCTTGATAGAAGAAAGCTGAAAATGCCTTAAATTTGCTTCTTCTCTCATGCAAATTGAGGCGAATCTCTTCTCTTCCTCTTTATTATTTCCAATAACCAGAACAGATCATAAAAAGCAGTACAACCGGAAAACACATGCAATCACATTACATTGCAAAACCCGCCACCTAACTCAGAATTAATACTTTCCAAAAAGTTTCCCAAAAAACATATTTGATCTTCGATTAATATCAGAATGCACAAACATAAATACCCACTAGCCCCCCCAAGGCAAACCACAATCAACAATAACAATTCATATAAACCCACTTTCAAATAAACAAGTAATGAGATATATACATACATAAAATTGTAACATGTGATGATTTAAAAAAAACCAACCTTTTCGAGCTCATCTTGAACCTCTTGAAGCTTTTCGATGGAAAGAACGAGCTCTCCCTCAATGTGATCGAAATCATCGTCCACAGCTCTCTCGGCGACTTTCGATTTCTTTCCTCGGTCGGCCACCATCTTTTGAACCCTAAACGGTTAGTGGCCAAAACCCTAGTTTGTTGGTGAAGCGAAGTTCAGTGTCCTCCGACTCCGAGGGAAGACAGAAGAAAGCTGCAAGTAAAAGGTGAGTTTTCCATCTCTTTTACTGTCTAAGGTTGTTTGAATCCGATGTATAGTTCTAGCATTCTCTGTTTTTTTTTTTTTCGGTCAAGGTAGCATTCTCTGTTTGTGTGTCGGATTTCTATACTTGCAATTTGTCAATACATTGGATAAATTACATTTTGACCCATTGATGTTTATCACTAATACACACAGATACCCTTAGGTATGAAAAATAACATAAAATTCCTCTAAGGTTTTATATATTGTAACATATAACTAGGGATGTAAATGGACGAAAGTGGGGGCGGAGGGTATAGTTTTCATCCTCGTACCCGCTTAAAAAATCTTCGTCCATCCCCGGTTCACTCCCGCTAACGGGTACAATTTTAATCTTCATCCTTGTCCAAGGGTAAATTTATAATCCCCATCTCCGTCTCCACTTTCCCTGTACCCACCCAAGCCTAAGCCTAATGCCATACATTTACGTTTGTGTTTGGATGCAAAACAAATATGAATAATATGATCTTAATGGACAAAGAGACTATGCAATTAAAACCCAAACAGACATTAACCTGGTCAATATTTTAAGAGGTCAGCTTGAAGCTCGGAATTTAGCTTCAAAACAACCGTGGGTCTCCTTGTATTGATCAATAATCACAAACAGATTGAAATCTAAATCAAACATTGCCTAAGCTTTAACATGCCACAAATTAAGACTATTGTCAACTAAGAAGCATCCCGCATGCATCACACTAAGAATCTAAGTGATATGAATGTTGATGATATACAAAATTAGTGACCACATCCTCTTACCAGCATATCCAAGTGAAAAATACTAATGGCAATAACAAAATGTATGGCATTCTATAGTATAACTAGTACCAATACATAATGTGCATGGCCAACAAGAATAAGAAGGCAAGTCGAAGTAAAGCCATGACAGTAATGGCAGCACAAAATATATAAATATATATATATTTAACGGGTATACGGGGACGGGGACTGGGACGGGCGGGGCGGGGGTAAGGGTAAGTCCATCCCCGCCTTCATCCCCGCACAGGTTTATACGGATATCTCTGTATACGTCCACCATCCAATACGTATAGTCCATCTCCGGTCTAAACGGGATAGATTTAGACGAATACTCATTTTTCCCGATCCACTGTCATCCTTACATATAACCCTTGTCGTTAAAGTCCATTTGAATCACAGCCCATTTTTAATGACGCCAACATGTTTTCTTCCAAAAATCCCTAAGTTACTCTTGAAATAATTAGTTTTAAATCACCAAAATCTCACAAACCCCATTTATTTTTTATTTTTTTTTTGCATTTCCATCATACCCCCCATGAAATTCACAAATTTATTCAACAATACCCTCTTCTTCAACTTTGTTGAAGGCTCATAACTTGAACTCTCCTGTCCTTGAACTTGCCACCCCTACTCCCAAAACATGACAAAGAAACTAGTCGATGCTCCGAACCTAATTTGCCCACTCATTTCACTACTTATTGATTGCAACCAAATAATTAAATTTATTGAACTTCTCACACTCGCCACTCCCATAGCACTGAGCCTCCCAACCTCAAACCACTAAATTAAAAACATCATCACTGCCATACACAATAAGTAAAGAACACATACCTTTAAATTGAAATTGACAAATAAAGCCAATTTGAAAATGGTTGCTACCTTCAATTTGAGCTTAATATGTTTGATTTTTAGTTAGTTTTGTGTGTGCATGCATGTATGTTTGTGATGAGAAATAGAAATCAAAAGATATGATGCAAGAGAGAAGAAGAATTGGGATATGTGTGAGCATTAACAATTGTGTCTCTATGTATGTGTGCATGTGTGAAGAGCACAAGAAAGAGAAGGTGTGGGAAAGGAAAAATATGGGAGGTGGTGGGTTTTCATTGGGGGTTTTAAGTTAGGAAGGAGGGGAGTGTGCTTGTGTGTAAAGAACTCGAAACAAACGAGGAGTGGGAGAGAAAAGATGAGAGGTGGTGGGTTTCATTCGAGATTTTACAACTGAGTGGGGCGGGGATGGAGCTTGGGGTTGGAAGTGTTGGTATTATGAGGAAGGTGGGTTATAGTACTAGCAGGTTTGTAGTGGAATTGGAGAAAGGTAGGCGGGGCATGGTGGTTGGCTAGAGGTAGGACTGTGGCATTGAGGAAGATGAAACATGGAGAAGGTAGTAGAATTAATTATAAGTTTAGGGTTGTTTGGGTATGGATTGAAGATATTCTATGGTTGAATTAAATTGTCCAACATTGATTTTGTTTGGGTTTTTGATAGGGGTAAATAGATCTTTTTTATTGTTTTTGTTAGTGTCGTCTGTAAATTGTTGTTATTAAGGGATGTCAGTGTTATTTTCTATTACTGAGGGGATGCATATGTATTTAGTGACAAATATAATGTAATTTATCCAAAATTAAAATGAAAAACACAACCAGAAAAGGTAGCACCAAACTCATCATGGTGTGATAAGGGTCCTGGATTTTTATTTTTTTTGGATAAACTTGCAGGGTAATCCAAATAAAAATTTTGAGTCACTTAATTTGAGATCCTATGTTCAAATTTTAATGGAGGATTTTTAAATTTTAATAGAAAGTTTTAAAACTGCATTTAATTTGTCAATAATTATGCATGTTTACTGTTTGCGTTATAATTACGAATTTAGATGACATATAATCCACACAACTCTACCTAAAAATAAAGAGCAATGTTATATAGACTTAAAAATTAGATTTAAAAATTAGACTTGATAATTTCAACCATTAATTTTACTGTGAGTCCCAACATTTATTGGGACACACTACCTATTCAATGGTTGAGATTATCAAGTTTAATTTTTAAGTCCATATAACATTACTCAAAAATAAAATAACTAAATAAATAAACAATGCAACAAGATAGACTATATAGTACATATATTTGGTAAAGGTTAGATAGTTGAACAGAAAAAAAAAATGGTAAAGGTTATTTTAGGCATTTCAAACTTTTTTCTACTGGGTGAGGTCATTCAAATAAAAAAGGGTTTTAAGGGGGCGGTACCCTTTTTATAAATTATAGGACAAAAACTACTATTTTTAAAAATATAGGTAAAAAAATATACAATTCCTAACAAATCTCTAAAATACTCTCTTCAGTAGAATAAGAACCGATTCCTATATTTTTGCTTCCACAACCAACAATTACACATAAATTCCTTCAATATCGTCGGAAACTCTATTCTTCTAAAAACTTCCATAAAACCTCGTTTTGGATGTTCAAAACTTTCTGTTAATCGTTGGTGAAGAAATGATCTTTTCAAAACTTCACTATCCAAATCTTCACCTTTGTAGTATAAGGATAAAGAATGATGACAGTGGTTATAAATTTTTTTAATAACGAAGAAACAACTCAATCACACGGTCTTGGATATAGATTGGAATTCGATTCATTAACATCTCTTGGTTACATTAAAGGGCAAAATGGTTTTAGTAAAAGGTCTATATGAGTGAGAACAATTTAGATAAGGGTTTGAATGAGAGTGACTGTAGCAGAAGGATGAGAGTGGTTGAATTTTTTGGAAAAGAAGTTGATAACTCAAGAAAAATGTTGTTTCTTTCAATGTTTTTATTTTATTTACTTTTTTTTTTCCCTCAATTACCTTTCTACTTCTAGTACTTGGTACTACATGCACACCAAGTGTTCGATCATTTGCCAAAAAAAAAACTAAAGAGGCTATATACATTGTGATATGCGTCGTGTCAATATATGCAGTATAACATTGACTTGCAATAATGTGACATTTGTTTCTAGCAATGTGAATTTGGTTTGCAACATTGTGACATTTTTTAGTACCATTATAATATTATCTTGTAGCACTGTGACATCATCGTGCGAAACAACAAATCATCCTCAAAATCAAAATTATTATCTTGATTATTACGATTATCCCCATTTGAGTCATCATCACTGACATTTATCCTCACATAAACGTGATTGACATTAAGAGACAGTAATAATTTTTTTAAAAAAAAAAAACATATGGACGGCATTGTAGCAATGTGAATTTGATTTGTAGCAGTGTGACATTTTCTAGTACTAATGTGACATTGTCTTGTAACACTGTAACATTATCGTGCGAGGCAACAAATCATCCTCCGAATCAGAATCATCATCTTGATTATTACGATTTATAAAAATAAATAAATTATACAAATATGGAAAAGATATGAATGTTTGAATAAAGATGAAAATTTGAATAACTTAAGTTGAATGAAAGAGAAAGATATAATTTAAAATTCAAAAATAATATTCCATAAATTTAGGAAACTAAATCCCTAATATAATTGTCATATTTGTCTCCCACTAATAAAGGAAAAGAGTAATTTTGTAAGAGAAAAAATTACAACTTAGTAAAAGTACCTCTTTACCAAACATTTACACATAAAGGTATTTATACATAAATATTTTATATTGAGGTACTTTACACAAATAAATAGGATAAAGTGTACCTTTTCACAATTTTTCCAATAAAAAATAGACTTGAGAGGTGGCCTAGAAAAAAGGGCCATTGATTTCCATTTGGGCCATATGCGTATGGCTTCACGTTTGATATTTTGGGCCAGACTACACTTCTATTTACAGTGAGCTCGTTGGAGCTGGAAAACCCAAAGAAAGTGAGTTTGAATGTTTTGATACATTACTACTTTGTCTTTGGGATCCTTTTAAGCAATTACCATAATTATGTATTTGTTTTATGATTTTGAGGTGACTTGAATCCCGTTAGGCTTGTTAACGGATTGAATTTCATTCAATTCAAATCCGAGACTTTAATTCAAATATTTGAAAATTTTTCTTTATTGTCCATTAAAGGTCAAAAATTAGATCTGAAAAGATCCAATCGAAAAAATTCAAATATCTA